TTGTTTCTTTGTCCCATTTTTCTTCAAAGATTCTACTGCATGATGGATCATAAGTCATAGTGCAGTGATAGTCACTGAATGGCACAGTAGCTTCTGGAATTTGAGCTTCAATAAATTTTTCCCATTGTTGAAACATCTCGGAGACTGGCTTGTTAATGTCACCAAGCCAGTAGACCTTAGCGTGTTCTGTCTGAGCAGTCATTTGAAAGTTTAATCCAGAGCTATCTACATAAATTCCTTCTGGTGTGCACCAGATTTTTGTTTTTAGTTTACACAATGCATCTCTTCCTAGTCTCGCCTGGATGCTCTATACTCCTCGTCTCAGGGCCAGGGGAGCGAGCGCGGGTTTCACCCAGCGGAACTCGCCGGTCAGCGGGCTGAGCTGGCCCAGCTCCGTCGGACGCTCAGCCTCAGGGAGCTAGAGCTGGACGAGCTGACCTCCCGCCTCTCCTCATCACTCCAAGTTCTCCTAACAGCGGCTCTGCCACCGGCCCAGAAGCCGACGGAGCGGGCCCAGAGGCAGAGAGTACCGACCCGGAAGCAGACAGTACCGGATGCGGTCCAAAACTCGGCGGTCCAGAAGTCGAGGGACCAGAAGCTGACACCTCCGGGCCAGACGCAGACGGTTCCGGTTCCGGTCCAGAGGTCGACGGTCCGAAAACCGAAGGACCAGAAGTCGACGCCCCCGGACCCGAAGCCGACACCCCCGGACCAGAAGTCGATGGAAGTCGATGCTCGTTCCTGTTCTGAAGTCGACGCCCGTTCCTGTTCTGAAGTCGACGCCCGTTCCTGTTCTGAAGTCGACGCCCGTTCCTGTTCTGAAGTCCCCCGAAGTCGTCTCCTCTGATGTCCCCGAAGTCGTCTCCTCTGATGACGTCCCCGAAGTCGTCTCCTCTGATGACGTCCCCGAAGTCGTCTCCTCTGATGACGTCTCCGAAGTCGTCTCCTCTGATGACGTCCCCGAAGTCATCTCCTCTGATGACGTCCCAGAAGTCGTCTCCTCTGAAGTCGGCTCGTCTGATGACGTCGCCGCCACCTCTGAAGTCGGCTCGTCTGAGGACGTCGCCGCCACCTGTGAAGTCGGCTTGTCTGATGACGTCGCCGCCACCTCTGAAGTCGGCTCGTCTGACGACGTCGCCTCCGAAGTCGGCTCGTCTGATGACGTCGCCTCCTCCTCTGAAGTCGGCTCGTCTGATGACGTCGCCTCCTCCTCTGAAGTCGGCTCGTCTGATGACGTCGCCGCCCCCTCTGAAGTCGGCTCGTCTGATGACGTTGCGGCCCCCTCTGATGTCGGCTCGTCTGATGACGTCGCCGCCCCCTCTGAAGTCGGCTCGTCTGACGACGTTGCCTCGTCTGAAGTCGCCTCGTCTAGGGATGCTCTCTGCACTCAAGAGGTTGACGCTCCATCCAGCCCGGTGTCTCCACGGTCTCCGGTTCCGTTGGTGGTTTTGAGGGCCGCTCCGGCCCAGCCTGCAGAGACTTTGTCACCGGCCCAGCCTGCAGAGACGTTGTCGCCGGCCCAGCCTGCAGAGCTCCTCTATCATAGACGCAGGCCCTCAAGGGTCTGTCCTCGTCTCCTCCTCTGCCGCAGGCGCCGGCCTCCAGAGGCCCGTCGCCTCCTCTTCTGCCGCAGGCGCCGTCCTCCAGAGGCCCGTCGCCTCCTCATCTGCCGCAGGCGCTGGCCTCCAAGGGCCCGTCGCCACCTCATCTGCCGCAGGCGCCGGCCTCCAAGGGCCCGTCGCCTCCTCATCTGCCGCAGGCGCCGGCCTCCAAGGGCCCGTCGCCTCCTCATCTGCCGCAGGCGCCGGCCTCCAAGGGCCCGTCGCCTCCTCATCTGCCGCAGGCGCCGGCCTCCACGGGCCCGTCGTCTCCTCATCTGCCGCAGCCGCCGGCCTCCATGGGCCCGTCGTCTCCTCATCTGCCGCAGGCGCTGGACTCCACGGGCCCGTCGCCTCCTCCGCCGGCCTCCAAGGGCCCGTCGCCTCATCTGCTGCAGGCGCCGGCCCCCGGACTCTGCTGATCCCTGCCGTCTCTCCATCGTCCTCTGGGCCCTCCCTCCAGGTCCCCCTCCCCCCGCCCTGCTCCTGGTTCCTGTGGGCGTCTGGGATCCGCCCTTTGAGGGGGGGGGGGGGGTACTGTCACACCCTGTCCTGTCTTGTAGTCTGTGTCTCCATTAATTGCTCCCACCTGCCTCTTGTTTCCCAATCACCATAGCTCCCATTCCTCATGTATTTAAACCCCTTCTGTTCTGTGTTCCTTGTGGTGTCATTGTTCCAGTGTCAGCGTGCGTCCTAATAAACCTGTGGAATTAATCCTACTTGTCTGCCTGCTTCCTCCCCGGTCTGGATCCTCGCCTTAGCTCTGCTTCACTCCGCGCACGTCGTGACACGCAGGAGCGGAGTGACGAGTTTTGCTCACAACCACTCTATCAGACTAAGTCTGAGTGTTCCCGAAAGCTTAAACTAAGTCTGGTTAAGCTATATTTTGGAAAACAGGGTGCTATTCTTAGCCGTGTCAGCTGATTAGCTACTAGCTTTGCTAGCATGAAGAGAGAGAATGAATTCAAACACACTCAAACACACAAGCAAACAACACATTCACTTACTTTAGCAATTAGGATGTCTTTAAAACAGTCCCACAGGCTCGTGGATTAATCGCTGAGTAAACAACTGCCGGATGTTTATGCCGGAGTCGGTGTTACAGTAAAAAGCTTCCCTCCCGGAAGTTTCCGGAGGAGGAAAATTAAGGTGACACAACTCCCGGTTTGAGTAAAATATTGAAAATAAAACAAAGAAATAGCGTGTTTTGATCTGAAAAAGACTAGCAATGGCTCGACCAATTATGTAGCGTGTTAAACTACATACTAGAATCAACACTGTTCACTATCAGCTTTGTTAGATTCTGAGAAAAGATCCAAACGAGTTAACAGTGAAGCTTCTCTCATATATAAATATCTAGGATATTATATAGTCGATAGAAGTTCATATGCCAACGAGCTTGGTCTAATTTTAATCCAAAGATTAATGTTTAATTTAAGATAGTTAAATTTAATAGCAAAAGTTTATTTATTTACAGAAGTTAAAGGAATCTTTGCCTTTTCAATAACCAGAAATATACACTATTCTGTGTTTAATTTCGAGAAGAGAGTCAAGTTTTTAAAGTTAAGAATTTATTACTAACACTTTTAAAATTGACAGTTTGAAATGACAATTTTTGAACAGACAATTTGATATTAAACTTGTTTAAAGGCAAATCTGTGACTGAATGAAAGCTAAAATGAAAATGAGAGTTTTTGGATGCGTGGATGAATATCAGAAGGTTTCTTTCAACGAGAGAAGCGTTTCTGGGTGGAAAATGATGTTTTGCAACTAACTGAGTCGTTTCTTAGGAAGAACAGCGTCAAACACAATCTGTCAGAAGTGTCTACCTCACCCAGTATCAGGAGACCCCCTTTTGGATCTGAGATGTCAGGTGGGGATGGTTTCCTCCAGGCAGGAGGTTGGTAGAAGGACCTTAGTGCGACCAAATCGGTCCTGAGATGTCTCCTTGGGTCACTCGACTGGTGGAACTATTTGCGTCTCAAAATCAATAACTCTGAAGGAGTTTAGCGTCTGCTGGTTACAGCATTTATTCGTAGCAATTCTATTAGAGTGACAGAATGCTTAGTAGAGACTCGGGCGGACGTCCCGTTGTCTCCTGTTGGGTTCAAGAACTGAACTTTTGCTGCAGGATTTTTTGTTTTAACAAAACCCTCAGAATACGCCCTCTCAGCATCAGGAAGCTTGGTCATGAGTAAAGACATGTGATGATTTTACCCTTTACCCTGGATATCCGTTCTGAATGAGGCGAGATGACCTTCTGGTTTGCTGAACACACATAACCGATTATCCACAATAATCATTATTATACCCAAAGCATAATAAGTCATTTCAGTCATTAAAATTACATTTATACTGAACCAAGAGATTATGATGATTGTAATAACAGTGATAAAGTCAAGAGTTTTTTTAAATTGTTAATTAAAATTATTATTGTGAAACTTGAAGTGTCCTTCATTCTGGGACGGAACAGCAGCAGATAAAGATGATGTTCAGCAGACATCATGCCTCCTGGCATGTTTAATCTGTGGGGCAAAGTTACAGTCGACCCAGCTTGACCCAGCTGGGAAAATGTGACCTTTGTCACAAATTAGAGGTTATTCATGACGCTACATATCTATAGTTGTTTTTCTTCAGTTCTTAGTTTGCCTCTGATCTGGGTACCATAGCAACAACAAACACGTTGCGCCTGCGAGCTCATCCTTGCTGTGCGTATTTTATTGTTCGTCTTTCAATTAACGCATCATTTGTAAAGCAATGCCACATTGTCCCTGATATCAGTAAAATTATTAATTCATTTTCTTTGAGAACCTGAGTTTCTAAATATAAACAGTTTGAAGAAAAATGCTTCATGTCACACAATTAGCCCGTTGTATCATAAATAACAACACTGAGCCTAAATCAAACCAGCTGTGTTTTATTGTAAAACAGGTTAGATGCTCGTACCCTTGCTGTCGGCCGCATTGTGTCCACCTTTGGCAAAATGGTAATGAACCTCAATCGGGCCAACAAAGAAATGAAGTATCAGCTCAACTACTGCACATCTGAATAGGGCCAATAAAGAAAACAAGTGGGTCAGCTGACCCAGAACTCATCCGCCAGTGCCAGAGCACAGCCACCATCAGCCCAATTATGCTTGCTGTGTGGATAGTACGTCCCCTACCCCCCAATGTACAGCGAATAGTCTGCACCCAAAGCACCCCCACCCCACCCCCTTTCTTATGCATGGAAGAGTTCATGAAAAGTTGGCAGCCCTGGCTTAATGGTCTTATTCATTCAGAAGAGTAAAATGTGTTTATTTCAGCCAGCCTGAACTTTTCCACACCTTTATTTATGTGTTTGTATCTTTTACTCTAGATTGTTTGATTTAACCATATTTTTTCCAACCCTGACTTTGAACAGTACCGGTCCATCAACCACCGGGTGGATGCCAGGTCTCTGGTCCTGTATCGGTGGTACTACTCCACGATATGTCAGTGGTGAGTGTTAATGCAGGACAAACACAAGTCAGTGTCCAAGTTTCAGTACTGTGTATTTGGACAGAGGCAATTTATATTATTCATTTATTAGTATTATATTTAGAAAGCCCATTCATACACAATGTGCTTTTCTTGTGCTAGAAAAAAGAAACAACATCATACCCATAAAAAAAACCAATGTAAAATACAGAAATATAATTAGATTAAATAGAAAAGCAAAGCTAAAAGGTGAGCAGTTACAGTGCAGAAGGTGCGGCATAAGAAACATTCATTCATACGCTGATCAGTTGGAGAGTTTCTCGAGGTCTTGTCTGGACACGAGACGTCTGAGTCATGCTGTTTGATTAAGAAGGGAGTAACCCTGATCTAGTTATAGCCTCAGTGTGACCAGTGAAGCTCAGGTCTGAATCAGTTATGACACCAAGATTTCTGACCCAAGTACCTGTAGACTAGATCTACTCACAAAAGAAAAGCTACACATGTTGATAAAACCACATTTGCTGTGTTGCTTCTCGGACTCTTGTCTGATGAGAAGATATGGTTATCTGTAGTGAAGCTGATAGTGCGCATGCAGGAGGTGCCACCAGGTGTATCTTCACACAGCTCATCTGATTCATTCATAAGATGCAGCTGTCACCTTTGACCCCTGACCTCTGGGATGAGCCAGACACAAAACAGAACTTTTCGTCTCTTTAGGGCCAGCAGCTTGTCAGGGACACCAGCTGGTTTAGCTGAATCTAGAACATCTAAACAGACCTCAGTCTGACAGAACCCAGAACCTCGTCCTAACAAGGATATTCAAACAGCTGTTGGTTAGAAATGTGTCACTGCACTGTTTATTGAGAGGATTCTCCGTGTGAACGTGTGGGTTATCTCGGCCCCCCATAGACCCGGTAGTTCTGTGGTGGCCCTAGGTGTGTGATCCATTTGTTGTCTCTGGACCAGGTGCCTAGGTGCTGTCATAGCTGTGGTATTGCTGCTGGCGTTTGTGGAGCGTCCATCTTCCCTGTCCATCTCTTCGGACCCGCGCCACAGATCTGTAGCCTGGGAACCTCCGTGTGGTTTCACTGAAAGCATCGAGATGATCTGCCTCATTGTCTTCTCTATTGATCTTGCTGTGAAGGTAAATGTAGGTCACACAGAAAGTATAGGTGATCAATTGGTGATGGGAAAGCTTTACACAGTGAACTCATCCTCCAGCTCTTAGATTTTCTGGGGCCAGTGGGTCGGAGCGGGAATGGCACTGGAACCATTATCTGTGCATCTCTAACTCTTATCTACTACTTTCTCAGTCGCCTAGTGTGTGTCTTCCCTGATACTGGGAGATTATGGGTTCAAATCCACAGTCGATTCAGACCCAATGTCTCCCTGCTTGACACTCCGCTTTAAGGGGTTGAATTGGGGGGGTTAAACCACCAAATAGTTCCAGAGGTCAACCACTACTGCAGCTCACAGCTCCCCACGGTGATGGGTCACATGTGATGTAATTTCACCAGTGTGTGATGACTAATGGGAGTCTAAGGAGCTTTGAAAGTAAAGCATCTGGACTTCTTTGAGTTACTTGAAGCAACTCAAAGAAGTCCAGACGCTTTTCTTTCAAAGCTCCTTAGACTACAATGACCTGGATGACTGAGAACCTTCACAGACATGACAAATGGGACTTTGACTTTGACTTTAAAGGGAACCATTGGTGTCCCACACTATGTGTGATTAGTTTTTTGCCCATTTAGTCCAATTTCTTCTTAGAGCTACCTGATTGGCTGGGAGGAGTTCAGGAAGAGCAAATGGCTCATCAGCTACACCGTAGTCCTCTTCGTGTCAGTCATCGACTGGGTGCTGTCTGTCAGCATGGCGTGTGATGAGGTAAGGCCTAAATACACCTTAATACTGCATTCATATGGAGCTGAGCTACAACTGTAGACTCCTAGAAACATTGGCTCAGAGACTTGGTCGAATCAGATGTGAACACTTGTGTCGACAAACTTTAGTGGTTGGAGGGTAGATGGCAGACTCGTCCAGTTAAGGTGGTGCTGAGAGTGGTTAAACAGGCTGGTTTGGGTCAAGAAGGAGGGAGACCTGAACTCAAAACTATATTGTGGTATTTATCCGAGTTCCGCCCGGGCGCTACTAGATCAAATTTGCGTGTCTAATTTACCCCCAATGCTCGCTCTACCGCGTCTGGGTCCTTAAACATGCAACAGCTCAACTCCTACCACTCAGCCAGAATCCTGACAGGATGACTGAGACAACATTGGACCCAGCGGCCCTACAGATTGGCCAGAGGGTCATCACTCGTCCTTACTTGACCCCCGCCTTGCCAGGCCTGGCCTTTCATCAGGTCCATTTGTGACTCCTACTCCTCCAGTTCTACCTCATTACTAGCATTAGGGGAAGAGCCGATGCAGTTGGGGCATCTCCCCCTGAGGAACGTGAACGAAGATGGCGGAAGAAGAGGTGTACTTATTGCGGCTCAGCTGGGGAACCCTCCTTCATAATCTTGATTAAGGACCCAGAAGTTGATCCGGAAACCCCAGGGACCCTCCTGTCCGAGTTGTCCGAGCTCCTCGCCCATTACATTACCAGGACCTTCTCCAGGGTTTTGATAAGGGCCGAGCTACGGCATTCCCACCACACCAGCCCTACAACATGGAGATAAAACTCCTACCCAGCATGGTTTCTCCCAGAGAGTGCCTGTTTTCCTTGGTTCCGGTGGAGAACTGTGCAATGGAAGAGTATGTTCAGGAGGCCCTCAAGCAGGGTGCTGCCAATTTTTTTTTTCATCAAAAGAAATATCGCGGAACAGTTTTCAGGCGAGACTGAGGCTACTGAGGCCTTTCCACGGAGCTAGCTCTGTGGTCACTTGGGTCTGATGCTCATTAATTATACAGAATTTTAGGCTTTTAATACACTTAAACAGAAGAGTGACAAAAAATTCACCTCCCTCAGAGTTGTCATGAGTGTAAACTAGATCAGTTAAACCAAAAACATGTTTTGGAACCAGGCTGTAAACATGTTTATTTCTGCTGTGAAATTGGTATTTTTAACATGGGAGTCAATGAGGATTTGCTCGCTTCTGACACCAGCCCCTAGCGGATGAGAGCGGAACTGTAATTTATTTCACTTCCGCATTGGCTTCAATTTCAGACCCGCATTGTGGGGGCTTGGTGCACACACACACACATGGACACACACACACCCCCTCATGGACCCCCCCCCCCCCCCCCCCCCCCCCCCCCCCCCCCCCCACACACACACACACACACACACACCCATGGAAAAACACAATGGACTGAGTTTAGATGAGCCAGACCAGCTAAGATAAGGAAACGCCATCAGGGAAGCCATCCGCCCCGACAGCAGCTGAGGCACCAACACAGGGCGCCCAGGGCAGGGAGGGCGGAGACCCCCACCTCCACCTAGGCACATCTGGAAAGCACCCAGGCCGCCACAGCCGACCACCGCCCCGGGGGCAGAGGGCTCCCACAGAGGAAACACTGGAAAAAGGTTAAATTAAGGTTAAAATATAAAATAATAAGAGCTCAAATTTATTTTTATTTATTTAGGAAGTGGGTCAATACATATTAATGAACATTTCAATAAATGTAAATATGCCAGATTATAGCCTTGGGCTAATTTCCATCTGCAGACCCTCCGGCATGTTGATGTTAGACACAAAGTAGTGTAAACATACAGAGATAGTATTTACAAGTCATGTGACAGAGACAAAAACTGTCATCCCATTATACAAACACAAACAAATGTCAAAGAAAGTGGACACAGAGAACAACATAGACAGCAATAACGGAAACACATCAACTGTATTGCACAAACCCCGATACTGCATATGCCCTGACTGTCGTGAGATTACATTCACCCATTAAACTAGCAGTTGTTTCCCTTTTAATACTGTACCAACTCTTTTCCCGGACAAATATGAAATATAAATATTAGACATGATCACATGTTTGTGTGTCCCTCAGCCGCTGTTTTAAGCGACTCTTAAAGATGTTTAGACTGGTACTTTCCCTTACAGATAGTGGAAGACTATTCCAGAATGTCACTCCCTGGTATGACAGAGCAGTCTGTGAAAAGGTAGTCCGCCTGAATGAAAATTGCAATATAAAAAGTTATATAGATATTAAAATAGTGTTGATCATAATTCTATGGTTTAAAAATGAATAAATAAATAAAAACTCTGTTTAAAAAAAGAATACATAAAATAAATAAATAAATAACCTAATTAATGAATTAATTTATTTAAAAAGTGACAGTAATCAGTTAAAAGCTAGGCTAAAAAGATGGGTCTTGAGCCTGTTTCTAAAAACATGAACGTTCTCTGCGGCCCTGAAGACCCCTGGCAACTCGTTCCAGAGGCGAGGACCAGAGTACTGGAAGGACGCCTCGCTGTGAATATGTGTCCTGACGTTAGGGATGACAAGGAGATGGCTGCCAGAGGAGCGCAGAGACCACGTGGGTTCATACGATAAAAGCAGTTCTGAAAGATCAGAAGGCCCAAGACCATTAAGACACTTAAAATCCGTTAAAAGTATTTTAAAATCAATCCTGAAACATACAGGGAGCCAATGCAGTGATTCTAAAACTAGAGTGATGTGCTCCCGCTTCCTGGTCTTCGTCAGGACATGTGCTGCTGAGTTTTGTAATAGTTGTAGACCTGAAGTACTCTTTTTAGGAGGATTGGCCCGTATTGGCCCGAGAGAGAATGGGGCAGACTCTGACGATGTTCTTTAGATAATAAAAAACTATTTTGGTGATATTTTTAATATGATGGAGAAAAGTCAGCTCAGAATCCAAGGTGACATCCAGATTCTTCACTTGTGAAGATGGATTAAAAGACAGTGATTGTAATTTCGGTAAAAGCTTCTCTCTCTGGGCCTCAGGACCAATGACTAAAACTTCAGTTTTGTCCTGGTTGAGCTGGAGAAAGTTCTCTGCCATCCAGGATTTAATGTCTAAAATGCAATTAGAAAGTGCATCCACTGGCCGAGAGTCATCAGGAGACACGGAGATGTACAACTGTGCATCGTCCGCATAACTGTGAAAGTTGACCCCGTGTCTCCTGATGACCCCGCCAAGAGGGAGCATATAGAGATTAAAAAGCACTGGGCCTAAAATTGAACCCTGGGGCACACCACATGTAATTCCATGGACCCTCGAGGAACAGGTATCCAAACTCACCATAAAAGTCCTGTCTGTGAGGTAGGATGTGAACCACTGGTGGACAGCACCAGAGAGGTCGATGTGTTTTAAATGAGTGAAAAGAACAGTGTGGTCTACTGTATTGAAGGCAGCACTTAGATCCAGTAGAACCAACACTGTCAGCTTCCGTTTGTCATAATTTACTCTAAAATCATTTAAAATCTTCAGAAGGGCCGTCTCTGTGCTGTGGTTCCCCCTAAAACCAGATTAAAAATTTTCAAAGACATTATGGGTGTTGATAAAAATCATTAAGTTGAATTAAAACAAGCTTTTCTAAAATTTTGCTAAAAAATGGTAAGTTGGATACCGGTCAATAATTGTTTAAATCATTAAAATCAAAATTGCTCTTCTTCAACAGGGGCCTCACCACCGCCTATTTAAAAGTGGCAGGAAAGACCCCCGTCTGAAGGGAGCAATTCATCATAGTTAAAACCTCATCTTTAAAAGATCCATAGAAGTTTTAAAAAACCTACAGGGAGTGCAGAATTATTAGGCAAGTTGTATTTTTGAGGAATAATTTTATTATTGAACAACAACCATGTTCTCAATGAACCCAAAAAACTCATTAATATCAAAGCTGAATGTTCTTGGAAGTAGTTTTTAGTTTGTTTGTAGTTTTAGCTATTTTAGGGGGATATCTGTGTGTGCAGGTGAATATTTCTGTGCATAATTATTAGGCAACTTAACAAAAACAAATATATACCCATTTCAATTACCGTAAATCCTCTAATACAGGCCGGTATTCAATTAAAGGCCGGGTCTCCAATTCTGGCCGGTGTCTGAGTCAGCGGAGGTAAATAATGGCCGGTCTCTTATTGTGGCCGGATGGAATGTGGTAACGAGCAAGTACGAGCGTCCCAGCGGCAGGGTAATAGTTCCCAAATCAACCAGCAGGAGGCAGTAGAGGTTCACGCAGACCTTCATTAGGCCTTTTCTTCAACGCTTTGTAACACTACAGACACGATCCTCTATCACGCTCCTACCACACAGAGTCACGGTGTCAGTTAACCATGCTAATTCAACCCACTCCACAGAACACACATCACCTTCCCTGTGGCTTACATAACACTCACACAACACGCAAATCAGCACATAGGAACTAGCAGAACGATAGGAAACACATATAACACATTACCCAGAATGCACCTGGCTTACAACCCCAGCCAGGTCATTACACTATCAAGTTCAAAGAGAACGTGCTGATTATGCTGCAGAACACTCTGGAGAGCAGCAGTAGGGGGTGTATGAACTACAGCAATCCCTCGTTTATCGCGGTAGATGCGTTCCAGACCTGGCCGCGATAGGTGAAAATCCGCGAAGTAGGGACTCCCAGCATGCCCCTCGCGGGGATTCCCTCCACGTTGCACCTACGTCACAAACCGCGGCTATAAACGGAAGTCGCCTTTCCAGCTCACCACTCAGTCATCGTTTCTTCAGATTCACGATCAGAGTTTCCAACCTACCAATCAATCCAACGAACTATCAGCTCATAGTAAGTTATCTTACTTACTTCTGGAAAGCCCGGCATTTCCGTGTCACTTCGTTGACGCTGGAACGCTCGGGGGTTTCCTAGAGCACCGACGCTATCACTTCCGCGTCTGTGAAACCACGCTCCCTATTGAATTATCGTATGATCACATTCTCCTTTTTGGGGGTAAAACTCAAGTGCCAGACCGTAGGTACTGACACGCGATCGTTCATGTCGGTTAATTTCCTTTAATGTTTTCTGTCTTTTATTTGCGCCTGATGTGTATCGCTGCTGTGGAGCGGGGCGCCTCAACTTGTCCTCCGACGCACAGATCACAGCAGGGAGCGCTCAGCTGTTTTCGCGGTCGGTAGATCTGCCTCCTGAGCACGGCCACAGTAACAATCAGGTGTCGCCACCTCAAAAACTAATTTAACACGCGATCGTTCATGTCAGTTCATTTCCTTTAATGTTTTCTGTCTTTTATTTGCGCCTGATGTGTTTCGCTGCATGCTGTGGAGCGGGGCGCTGCGCGCATCACCTTGTCCTCCGACGCACAGATCACTGATACGGCCGTCAAACAGCGAGCGCTCCGCTGTTTTTGCGGTCGGTAGATCTTTTAGAACTGCAGTTCAAAGGTAACTCATAAGGTGAATATATATGAACCCAGGTAGCAGTTTTTCTTTAGGATTGAGAGGAGATGCAGGAAGATAATAAACAGACAGGACAGAAAAATAGTCAAATAAAAACAAGTTAGTTTTTGTACCTGCTGTTGCAACAAACAGACACCATTGAAGGTAATCAGAAGTGAGGAACAGAAAATGAAATAATTATTTTAATGTTTAGAGCAGCAGGAACTCCGAGAGGCTGCAGGCGCATCAGTGAGTTTGCGGCCGCTGAGCAGGGGGAGGGGGGAGAGGGCTGAAGCAGGAACTACCGTTGTTAAAAGAAATGTGTTTAACTTTGAAAATGTGGGCACAATTTTAATTGTCAAAAACTCCAGCAAACCATTAGTTCATTTTGCTCAAATAGAAATAGAGGCCTGCCTCTAATACTGGCCCTCCTTCCAATAAAGGGCTGGATCTTGATGAGCTTGAGTCAAATACAGGCCCGGGCCTGTATTAGAGGATTTACGGTATTTATTTTTACCAGTGAAACCAATATAACATCTCCACATTCACAAATATACATTTCTGACATTCAAAAACAATACAAAAACAAATCAGCAACCAATATAGCCACCTTTCTTTGCAAGGACACTCAAAAGCCTGCCATCCATGGATTCTGTCAGTGTTTTGATCTGTTCACCATCAACATTGCGTGCAGCAGCAACCACAGCCTCCCAGACACTGTTCAGAGAGGTGTACTGTTTTCCCTACTTGTAAATCTCACATTTGATGATGGACCACAGGTTCTCAACGGGGTTCAGATCAGGTGAACAAGGAAGCCATGTCATTAGTTTTTCTTCTTTTATACCCTTTCTTGCCAGCCACGCTGTGGAGCACTTGGACGCGTGTGATGGAGCATTGTCCTGCATGAAAATCATTCTTGAAGGATGCAGACTTCTTCCTGTACCACTGCTTGAAGAAGGTGTCTTCCAGAAACTGGCAGTAGGACTGGGAGTTGAGCTCGACTCCACCCTCAACCTGTAAAGGCCCCACAAGCTCATCTTTGATGATACCAGCCCAAACCAGTACTCCACCTCCACCTTGCTGGCGTCTGAGTCGGACTGGAGCTCTCTGCCCTTTACCAATCCAGCCACGGGCCCATCCATCTGGCCCATCAAGACTCACTCTCATTTCATCAGTCCATTAAACCTTAGAAAAATCAGTCTTGAGATATTTCTTGGCCCAGTCTTGACGTTTCAGCTTGTGTGTCTTGTTCAGTGGTGGTCATCTTTCAGCCTTTCTTACCTTGGCCATGTCTCTGAGTATTGCACACCTTGTGCTTTTGGGCACTCCAGTGATGTTGCAGCTCTGAAATATGGCCAAACTGGTGGCAAGTGGCATCTTGGCAGCTGCACGCTTGACTTTTCTCAGTTCATGGGCAGTTATTTTGCGCCTTGGTTTGTCCACACGCTTCTTGCGACCCTGTTGACTGTTTTGAATGAAACGCTTGATTGTTCGATGATCACGCTTCAGAAGCTTTGCAATTTTGAGACTGCTGCATCCCTCTGCAAGATATCTCACTATATTTGACTTTTCTGAGCCTGTCAAGTCCTTCTTTTGACCCATTTTGCCAAAGGAATGGAAGTTGCCTAATAACTATGCACACCTGATATAGGGTGTTGATGTCATTAGACCACACCCCTTCTCATTACAGAGATGCACATCACCTAATATGCTTAATTGGTAGTAGGCTTTCGAGCCTATACAGCTTGGAGTAAGACAACATGCATGAAGTGGAAGATGTGGAAAAAATACTCATTTGCCTAACAATTCTGCACTCCCTGTAGTGGGAATAGGGTCCAGGATACATTTGGTGGGTCTCACTGAGGAGAAAACTTTATCAAGAGTCTCAGCTTCAACCATTACAAAACTGTCCAGTGTTTCCTCAGGTAGACACACACAGATGTGTCTAAAACCATGTTATGCTGGGAGGGTAAAATGTTACATCTGATGGTGTCTACCTTCCCTCTGAATTGGGCTGCAAACTCCTCACAGAGGGTGTTTGAGGGGGTTTTCTGAGCTGAGTTTTGGTTGGAGTTGAGAATATTATTGATTGTGGAGAAAATAATTTTCGGGTTATTTTTATGGTCTGAGAGGATTTTGGAAAAGTATGAACTTACGGCATTAGTGTATGTTTTAAGTAGTTCTGAATATATCTGATGGTTTATTGTTAATTTATTTTTCCTCCATCTCCTCTCCGCCACTCTGCAGTTTCTCTTTAGTTTCTTTAGGTTTTCATTTCTCCAAGGTGATGTATGATTTGACTGCAAGTTTTTGGTTTTGAGTGCAGCAAGCAAGTTAAGAGCTGTCTCTAGTCTTCTGTTAAAATCATTGATGATGGCAACACAAGGGGCGGAGACATTAGTTGGAGGGATATTGTTAAAAGCTTCAAGAAAACCAGCAGCCACTCCTGAACATGTTAATGAAGTAATTCTATTCTACTGATCCTGTGTGAGTATATTTAGATATGTTTAGACAAGGATGAGTGATATTAAACTATTATTACTTAGAAATATCAGCTGAGGGAACTAGACAACACCAATTTAATACATATTGTTGAGCCTTTTATAATTTTGTTGTTTTATTTTCATATTTTTAGCAACAGACCACGGTCTTGTTTCACTTGAAGCGTTGTCAAATACAATATCCGATAAATCGATGGAGGATTCGATAGACTAAAATATTCGATAGCTGCAGCCTTAATCTCAATAGTGCCAACAGTAATGCTTTAGGTTTCTACCATCCACGTTTGATTCTTTAATGCACTAAAATACATTCATTATGAACGGGCGTGACTGAAGCAGGTAGCCTAGCACTCAGGTGCCTAACCCTTTATATAATGATATATTCATCATGGCCTTTTGTAAAAACAGAAAAGAAAAGGTTGTGGGGGTGTCTGGATTCTTTTCTGTCTCTAAGATATTTTCCTGTTTTTTGGACTCTGTTGTCAATCAAGCTCTAAGCATGTTTGAGTCAAACTAAAAATTCCTCTGAGTGAATAAATGTTGTTCTTCTGTTCTTTTGTCATTTATCAGAGATTGAGAATCCGACGGCTCTTCCGACCGTTCTTCCTCCTGCAAAACTCTTCTCTGATGAAAAAGACTCTAAAATGTATCAAGAGGACTCTACCTGAGATTGCCAGGTGTGTGAAATATTCACTCCCAGGTGTCTGGAGTCAGATGGCTGGCCTGTGTCATTTGGTGTTAGGGTTTGTGAAAAACTACTAAATAATGCTAGTTTTTAGAAGAGATGGTTGAAGGTGAAAATAATGAAAAAAACTTTTGAATCCCACTGAAAACTGGAGTTTTTGATGCTGCTGACTTAACAGGTTAAAGGGAGGAGCTCCATCTCACCTGTGTTGTCTCTGTCCTCAGTGTGATTGTGCTGCTGGCGCTGCACCTCTGCCTCTTCACCATGATTGGCATGCTGCTGTTTACGAAGAGTGATGTAAGTTCATCCGTGTGTGTGTGTGTGTGTGTGTGTGTGTGTGTGTGTGTGTGTGTGTGTGTGTGTGTGTGCGTGTGTGTGTGAGTGAGACATAAGGCAACTTAGACACAAGTTTAAAATAAAATAAACAGTCATGTAATTTTCCATCAAATAAAAATAAAAGTAGTCTTGATACTTTTTGAGGCTGTGGATGCTGTAGAGTGCACTGCAGCACTCGTTAGGTTTGTCATGAACTTTGACCTTTAACTCGCTAACTGGCTGCATCATTTGGAATCATAGGATGTCCAGGGAAGGTCCCGCCTTTCTCGCCTCTGATTGGCTAGAAGGGCTCTCCTACGATTGGCTATTTCATTAAGCAGAGAACCATATTCCCTGCTAAGTGCAGACTGTCCTGCTGCCAACAGAAAGCTGTTTTAGGGAGTTTTGTAAAGAAAATGTCTACTGTGCGCCATAATAACCATTCTTTTTAGCAAACTAGTTTTTTTCCTTTTCTTTATTAAAAAAATGAAAAATGTAAACGTATAATAAATCTTGTTGAGAATTTGAATGGAAGGTGAAGATGTGCTATTTTAGAACTTCACTTGTTATTTCTAGATATGCTAATATTTCAGAGGAATGCTGGAAAAAGGGTGGACGAGTGGGAGACTTTACGCATATATTTTGGGAGTGCCCAAAGGTCATACCTTTCTGGGAAGAGATCCGAAAAGAGATTAAAAAAGTCCTACTGGTGGAATTACTATTTACGCTAGAAAAATGTATACTGGGAATACTACCCAAAAAGCTAACACACAGAAATAATTTGCAATTAATCAGAATTTTACTTATGATTGCCAAAAAGTGTATTACGGTTTTGTGGTTGAACACAAAATCACCAAATGTGACTCAGTGGAGAGATAGAGTTAGACAGGTTTACGAGATGGAACAAATCACCACAAGGATACGACTTAGATTAGGAAATAAAAAAAAAATTATGGTAACCAATAAAGCAGATAATAGAAGTAGAATACTCTCAATGTTCTTTTTTTTTCTTCACTGTAATGGTTAGTGTACCATCCATTCATTTTAATCCGCTTATCCAGAGTCGGGTCGCGGGGGCAGTAGCTTAAGGCGAGAGGCCCAGACTTCCCTCTCCCCAGCCACTTGGGCCAGCTCCTCCGCGGGAATCCCAAGGTGTTCCCTGGCCAGGTGAGAGGCATAGTCCCTCCACTGTGTCCTGGGTCTACCTTTAGGTCTCCTCCTGGTTGGACGTGCTCGGAAAACCTCACCAGGGAGGCATCCAGGAGGCATCCTGACCAGATGCCCGAGCCACCTCAACTGGCTCCTCTCGATGTGGAGGAGCAGCGGGTCTACTCCGAGCCCCTCCCAAATGACTGAGCTTCTCACCCTATCTCTAAGGGAGAGCCCAGTCACTCTTCGGAGAAAACTCTTTTAGGCCGTTTGTATCCGCGATCTCGTTCTTTCGATCACTACCCAAAGCTCATTACCATAGGTGAGGGTAGGATTGTGGATCGACCGGTAAATCGAGAGCTTACCCTTCTGACTCAACTCTCTCTTCACCACGACAGACCGGTACAGCGCCTGCATCACTGCAGATGCAGCACCAATCAGCCTATGGATCTCACGCTCCAGTTTTCCCTCACTCGTGAACAAGACCCCGAGATACTTAAACTCCTCCACTTGGGGCAGGACCTCATCCCTGACTCGGAGAAGGCAGTCTACCCTTTTCCGAATCAAGACTGTGATCTCAGATTTAGAGGAACTGATTCTCATCCCAGCTCATTCACACTCGGCTGCAAACCACTCCAGCGAAAGCTGAAGATCATGTTCTGTTGAAGCCAACAGGACCACATCATCTGCAAAAAGCAGAGACCTGATCCTCAGGCCACCACAACGGATGCCCTCCACACCTTGGCTGCGCCAAGAAATCCTGTCCATGAAGGTTATGAACAGAATCGGTGACAAAGGGCAGCCTTGGCGGAGTCCAACTCTCACTGGGAACGAGCCCGATTTATGGCCGGCAATATGGACCAAGCTCTGACACCGGTCATACAGGGACCTAACAGCCCGTATGAGAGGGCCTGGTACCCCATACTCCCAGAGTACCCCCCACAGGGCCCCCCGAGGGACGCGGTCAAACACCTTCTCCAAATCCACAAAACCCATGTAGACTGGTTGGGCAAATTCCCACGCACCCTCCAGAATACCCCTAAGGGTATAGAGGTGGTACAGTGTTCCACGGCCAGGACGAAAACCACATTGCTCCTCCTGAATCTGAGGTTCAACAATCTGACGGAGCCTCCTCTCCAGAACCCCTGAACAGACCTACCAGGAAGGCTCAGGAGTGTGATCCCCCTGTAGTTGGAACACACCCTGCCATCCCCCTTTTTAAATAATAAAATAATAGTTAAAAAAATCTAAAATAAAATAAAAACAATTAGGGGTCTGCCAGTCCATTGGGACTGCCCCCGATGTCCACGCGATATTGCAGAGCCGCGTCAGCCAACACAGCCCCACAACATCCAGAGCCTTAAGGAACTCTGGGCGAAATACTGCAGCCAGATAACGAGTCCTCTAACTCCGATTTTCAGGAAGTAGACCAAATCTGTGCTCCAGCTGAACTGATGACTGATTCATCTTCAGGTAATGATGGTCTGGCACCCCCTGGTGTCGAGTCTGCCAATCCAATGTTTCTTTGGACACCTCTTGTCTCATGGGAGAGCCGGTAAGCCTATGGCGTGCGTGCAAGTGGGCCATATGATCCGGTGCATTGCCCTCCTGGATACTGGTTCAGGTTATACAGTCATGCGCCGGTCTACATTCAACCGCCTCTACCTGGGTACAGGAGGAGGTGTATGACCTCCAGAACTGATTCCTTGTGCGGTGACTATGTTTGTTTTCTCTCCTTCTGACATGATCTTTTCATCTAGATAACTTCTCCTCTTCACCATTCGTCCTCTTGACTTTGGAGCACCCCGTGTTCCTCTGTGAGCGCAGTGACATTCCTTTGATTCTCGGTGTTGACCTCTTGAAGCGCTTTAAAGTTTTCATCGATCTGGAAAAGGGGGGACTTTGGTCGGGTGTTGGAGAACGCCTGCCTATCATTTTGCCTCCTGACCCTGAGCGTGGAAAATTTGCATGCTCTGTGCCGAGTTCAAAGCCTCCATCAGAGCCATCCTCTGATGTGTTGAGAGTGACCAGTCCTTCCACAACCTCCAAGGTCAGTGACACCAGCAGAGTCTGCATCGTTGCTGCAGTAGGATCGCTTCAACCTGGGGTGGGAACATCACCTACTCCAGATGAGGTTGACGGTTGCAGTGGCACTCCACCTAAGACTCCACACCCTGCAGTGGGAACACCACCTGCCGATGGGGGAGTTGATGGTGGCACTGGGACTCCGGCTGAAGCCGGGTAGCCTGCGGTGGGGACACCACCTACCGAAGGGGGGGCTGATGACATTACTGACTAGGGCTGGGTTCCTTTGACATTTGAATCGATACGGTACTAATTCCCGGTATCTACGAATCGATACCGGTACTTAACGGTACCAATTTTCGATACTTTTGAGTGTTTATTATTTTAATTCTTTTTTATAATTAAATATATATTTTTCTCAATATATAACAATATTTGATAAATATCACGATAAATAACATTCAACTGTTTGTATTTTAACATCGTCCTTGTAGTTTTACAAGCTGATAATTAAACTGAAGCAAACATCTTTACTGTGAACTAAATTTACTGTGTATCTTCATTCCTTTTGCCGTCTTTTTTCAGTTGATTTTTCCTACTGGGAAGTTAGAATTTCCGAGGAGAAAGCGAACGCACCATTAGCTGATAACGGTGGCAATGGAAGCTAACATATCAAGCTAACATTATCTTTAACAGTTTATTTAGCTGCTGGAGCAGATTAAAACGATGATGCCTCACGCTTAGATCGTTGTTGCTGGTTTCATCTTCACCCAGTCACCCATCGCATTTAGTAAAGTGAAGCCAAACTTTAGAGCGCGCGTTCATGTTCTTCTAGTCGGAAATTCGGAGCTCCGAGGAGAAAGCGAACGCACCATTAGCGGAACGGAAGCTAACATATCAAGCTAACGTTATCTTAAACATTTTATTCACCTACTGGAGCAGATTAAGATGAGGATGTCTCACTTAGATCGTTGTCGCTGGTTTCATCATCACCCAGTTACCCATCACATTTAGTGAAGTGGACCCAAGCTTTAGCGTGCGTTCTTTCTACCATGCTACTCTGTTTACAACTGGCTCACAGCGAGCGATGACATAACGCTGTTGCGCATGCGCAGCTGTCTTGGCAAGTTCTCGTTATGAAGGACGAGTACCAAAACGAGGCACCGTTTGAAATGACGTGAATCGGTGCTCGGTCGGTACTATGGAAATCGGTCGGTACCTTAAAAAAGTACCGAATTCGGTACCCATCCCTATTACTGACCCTGCCCCATTACAGCTGGCGCTGGTGACCTCTAGCCCTGAGGTTGGTGACCCACCTACCAAAGGGGGGGGGGGGGGGGGGGCTGTCGCCCTGTACCACTCCTGGCTGACCCTGATTTCTCTGACTGCACCCGCGTGTCGACCGAGGGCCCTCCAGAGCGCTCACCTGCGCCGACCCCTCGCGAAGCCGCACCTACACCATTCTACGGTCCTAAACATTCTTTGTTTCAGTTTTCAGGACTGACAAAGTATTTTTGGCTAGTTGAGTGTGCCTGTCTGATGTCCAATGCAGCTAAACTTCCTCCACAGCCTCTCCCTAACGCGACCGTATGAACCTGGGCCCTCTTCAGGTACCACATTCTGAGAGCGCCCAGATCTATTGATGACATCACATGACATGCAGATCTATTGGCGTAAGGTCGAAGGTCATTCTCGGGCACCTGGAGCTGATAGGGATCTAAACGATTTTGCAGACTCTCTTGCCAAACAAGGTGCATCTGTTGGTACCCCATGGTCCTTCAACCCATTGTGGCACCCTGACGATGTGT